GGGCCGCGTACCGCAGGAAAAAAAAAAAAAAAAAAGAATATTGATGAAGGGGGACTAGACCTACCAGATATTATATAAATTACAAAGCAGCAGTAACTAAAAGCTCAGTGATGAGGCATAAATACATATGCAGAAGAGAGAAGTCAGGGACAGACAGAAATATATGCAGGAAATGAGTAACGCATCAGTGGGGCCCTAGCTCATGGCAAACTGGAAGGTGAGAAAGAAAAAAGGAGAGAGGGAATAAATCATGAGGGAACTTAAAAAAATAGAAAAATCATCCTAGACAAGAAGTAACAACCTCTAAAGCCACTGAAAGGAAAGACTCCAGCACGGTGGGAAACGCCATAAACAAAACCTGCAGGCATACTGGGGGAAACAGAATACACTGCAAAGTCCTACATTTCATATTCCATAAGGAGCTCCTAAAAATACACATAGACACACAAGCACACAGACATAAACACCAAGAAACTTGGTAGAAAATAGGCAAGTCCACTGCCAAAGCTGTTAATCATAGATGCTATCACACACCTGCACGTGTAGTTATGTGTGGTCACGGAATAAAATGAGGGAAAATGGTCTAAATGCCCACCAGCAGGACTAGTTATGTAAATTACTGTGCGTTTACACAACATGCTAATTTGGAATGAACTCTAAGATCTATTAAAAGGATGCATGTATGCTACCACTTGTAAAGGAACTATGTCTCCTTCATGCACAGATGGCTCTCAAGAGCTGTATAAGAAAGTGCAGAAGATAAAGAAGTAGGGATGAGGTTCATTGCTTACTGCACATGTGCCCTTGAAAACTTGGAACTTGTGCTTGCATCACCCAAATATACATTTAAAATCTGGAGAAAAAAAAAGATTTGAAAAAATTCAAGGCAAAACATTGAAAAGGGCAGAGATGTCACATCGATAGAAGAAACAAGTCACTAAAATGTACGAAACTGTTTCCAACTAAAAGACAAAATCTTAAAGACACCAGAGATGAAAGTCACACGATACCCACAGGGGCAACAACGAGACTGAATGGCTGACTTCTCCACAGAAACAATGGAAGCCAAAAGACGATGGAGCAGCACGTGGAAAGTGGGGACAGACCATACCTGCCAATCTACAATTCTATACCTAATGCAAACATCCTTACAGAATAGAGATGAAATGAAGATGTTTACAGATGAACAAAAGCTGAGGGAATTCATTGTTGCACTAAATGCAATGCTAGTGAGATTTTTTCAGGCTTAAGGAAAATGATTCCAGATAGAAACACAGAAAGAAAGAAGGGGACCCCAAGGAGTCAGTATTATGGATAAATACAAAGAAAGATTGACTGTAAGCAACAAAATTAACACATACCTGGTCTTGAGTCTCAGGGAATGCGCCTACTAGCTGTATTGTTGTAGGCGGGTCAACGCTTGCAGGCTGTTTCTTCATCTGTCGGTGGGGATTCTGACAGCAGTCCCTACCCTCATCGAGTGTTTGTGGGATCTGTGAGATAACTCTCAGCCCAGCGCCTGGCTCGTAGCAAGCCCTATTGTATCTTTACACGTAAGTCGTCCTTTACTGTGTTATGGGGGTCTGGGAGCTGTGGGAACCACTCTAGACCCTCTTTCACTCTGTGTCCCTAATTTAGGAGTCAGATGAGAAACTGTCCCAAAAGGCCCGCAGAATCTCTGGTAGGAAAGACAGGGCAGGGAGGCCATAGCCTTGATGTTGGAAATGGAAATTCTGGCTACTGACTAGAAGAAAGAAGAAATGCTCCCGAGTACCCTGGTGTGGCCAGCTGTCTCCCCAAGTGGCTGCCAACCGACAAAAGTGATTTTAATTAGCTGCTGTGGGCAGAGAGTATTGGCCTGCAATGCAGACCACTCAGGAATGTTGGAACTTCTGCTCCGTTGGTGGGACTGGAGCCCAAAGCGTGGACAGGCTGCTTAGATAGGGCCTGGGAGAGCCATCTCCTTGGGGTTCACTCAGCTTTGCCACACCAAGTCCAGAGCAAAACCCACCATAGACAAACTGGCAGAAAAGCACCCTGGCCCCTGGCAAAGGATGTCTCACATTTTCTGTCTGGCTATCATTCATCTACCCACCTATCCATCCATCCATCTACCTGCCCATCCACGCCCCCCACCACCATCATCCACTCACTCATCCACCCACCCATTCGTCCGCATTGTGAAGTTAGGCTTGCTTTTCAACCCCAAACTTGCTGCCTGCTTGCAAGGGAAGAACACACCATCAAAAGCAGGGCCAGACACTTAGTTCTCTGCCATCTCGCGCCTCTTGGGTTTCTGGTGGTGCCGACTCTCTTCCTCCGGGATGCCAGCCTTGCTCACATTCCCTGTCCCCACTCCTCATGCCCAACAGGCTTGGTTCCAACCCTTTCTCCTCTTCCTGGTCATCGATCTGGAAGCACTGGGACGGGGAGAGGAGACGAGGAACCCCATGGTGCTTTGTGGCTCCACCCACCAACTCCACAATGGGGGGAAGCAAGCAGATGCATGAAGCTCTACACATAACTCTGCTTTCCCATCTGACTTTATTTCACTTTTTTTCTATAAAACTCCTCCATAATTTCACAATTTAACAAAAAGTTTAAAATCCAGGACAGAAACAATCCTGTAACTTATTACAAACACAATTCTCCTTTATTCCTCTTATCCAAGAGTTGGTCTCGGGCCGATGAGTGTCCTAGTTCCTAGTTAGACACATTCTTTGTAAAAACCCTTGTGGGTAAGAAAGGTATTCGATACCTTTTGCTTTCAGGCGTCGGTTTACATTTTCTTCAGGAGATAGCAAAACACCGGGGTTTGCACTGGGGTCAGGGGGCTTAACACTAAACACACGGCAATCACAAAGTGCCGGCCCCTTCCTATGGAAGCGTCCCCAGAGCCCTGGTGGGCCCAGCTGCCGGGCAGCTGGGGGTGGGGTGGGGGGAGCAGCTGGGAATGCCATGGTCGGGGCCCTGGCTGCCTGGCACGTCCATCAGGTGGTCACAGGGCCAGCACTGGGCCCAGAGTAGCTCCGGAGGACAGCACTGGGGCCTTCTGGCCAGAGGAGGTAACAGAAATGGGTTGGTGCTTCCAGAGGCCCTGGAAACAGCAGGCAGGGCCAGATGCTGCTGCTGCTGCTGCTGCTGCTGCTGCTGCTGCAAAGGGCAGGCCCGAGAGCCCGGCCTTCCTCTAGCTGCCTCAGGGGCAGAGCCTGGCTCCTGAGCAGAGGGCTGCCCAGTCACAGAGCCGGGAGGGCCTACAGCCCCTCCCAGGAGATCCTCCGGAAGGAGAAAGACCAGGGCCCTTGGGCTGAGGCTCCCACCCGCGACCCCCAGCGGCCTCTGTGCACAGAGGACCAGGCAGCTGCTGCTCTCGGGCCAGTCCTTTCTGTCCAATGTCTTAGAGTTTCCAGAGAAGAGAAGTGCCCCACTTTGGAGTATTGTTGGCCTGCCTGGAGAAGGGGACGGTGGCAGCACGAAGCCTGCCACACAGGCCTGCCCTCTTCCTAATACCTCAAGGCAGTGGGGTTGGGAGAGAATCAGAGCAGATGGCGAGGAGTCACGGCAGTTTCCTCTGAAAGTTCTCGGGCCTTCCCCGAGTCCTGGGATCTCACCAGGAAGGCTGGCGTTCGGGGAAGCCTTGGAGGCGGGGCTCCCGAGGGAGTGTTTGGGGTCTGCCTGACAGACAGACAGAATCAGAGCAGTGACAATGGTCAGGGACCACAGGGAAGGGGCGCGTGGCACACCCCACGTGGGAATTCACAAACTGGGGGGAGGAGGGGCCGTCCGACAGTGGGTGGGAGGGAAGTGAGCCTGGCTCCAGCCCCGGCCTCCTCTCCTGGCGCCGGTGGGGACCAGAGGAGCCTTGAGTCGAGGTCCCCAGCCCCCAGGAGCCCACCACAAGGTGGGCTGACTCTGTGAGGGCGTTCTGGCCGGGGGGGGAGGAGCTGGCTTTGGCCCTTGGAGAGTTTCAGGCGTGCGAGGAGTTGGGTCTCCAGCCCCGGACCGGCGTGAATCGCAGGGGTGGGAGGGCCTGCCACCAGCCGGGGCCCAGGCACGAGGGGCTGGTTCTGAGTCCTGATGCTCCTCAAAAAACTCCACAAACTATCCCGTCTTATTTGGCAAAAGCTCATTTTTTCCAAAGTTCGAAGACTCGGTCAACAGAAGGAAGAGGATCCTATGGAAGGAGGAAGAGGACGAGCCCCAGGACGCCGACCCAGCCTCAGCCCGCGGCTGGCTGGGGACTGGGAGGGCGGCTCCTGGAGACGGCGCGCAGTGTTCACCGCCCCGGGAGCAGCAGGAGGCGTCCTCCCTGCACCTGCAGAGGGTGAGCTGGCGCTCCAGCCCGGCCTTCGGCCCGACGCCAAGGCCAGCGGAGACATCACAACCTACAAGTCCCGCCTTACACCCCCCACCCCCACGTGCACTGCTGCCCTGGAAATGCACACCCGGGAACCGCTCGGTACCTACAGTGCAGACATATATATATAATAGAGAGAGAACTATACAGCACGGAGTCCCAGCACAGTGAGAGCCAACACGGGGCCGTGTCTGGCTGACGCGGAGGACGAGCCGGGCCCGTCCTGGTGCGGCAGGAGCCCTCTGAGGTCCTGGGGCGCGGTGGGGTGTTCCGAACCGTTGGGGGAGGCCAGAGGCAGTGCCCCAGCCTCTCAGAGGGGCCCGGGCAGTGAAGCTGTGCCACACGCCCCACCGAGGAGCGAGGCCCCCACCGCAGGGCACGTTTCTTCCCCCTCGGGAGTACACAAGCCACTTTCCAAGGGGGGCCCAGGTGACGGCCCCAGGGTGTCGGGGAGCAGCAGTGCCGGCCTGGGCCCCTCGGCCCCAGGGCTCCCGACGAGGAAAGTGCAGCTGGCCGTGTGGGCCGAGGACAGGGCGGTCACTAAGGCAGTGCTGCGGGTGGGCAAGTCGAGAGAGGAGGGAAGGCGGGGCCCAGACGTGGCCTCCCAGGACCCCGGGGACGCGGCCCGGCACCCGGCCCAGGGTCATGTGGCCACCGCCTCCAGGTAGCTCTGCAGCTTGCGCACGGTGGTCTCATCCAGGGAGAAGAGGTCGAAGTCGAAGGTGGTGTTGGTGACATTGAAGTGGCCGGTCTCCTCGATCAGGTTCACGATCTGGAGGGTGGTGGCAGGTGGCTTCAGTGGACAGGGCGCTAGGCTGGGGTGGACCCCGCCCCCCACCAGACCCTCGAGGAGAATGGAGAGTGATTCCCTGGGGCTGCCTA